GTTGTTGCCAACGTTATTGCTGGTTCGCAACCTGCCCGCCAGATATGTGCTGTGTGTGCTGTTCAATGTAAATTGTTCTTCGCGCATGCACAGAACAATTTACAGTGAACTGCACATGCGCAGTCACTAAAATCCAAAATGGCGGTGTCCAAAGAGCAGCGAGGGAACCGGTCCGGGGAGGGAGGGGTCAGGCCTGGATCGCTGCCAGTTCTGCTACCCAAGCCTGAATTCCACTACCGGTTCGGCCGAACTGGGCCAAACCAACAGCAACCCACCTCTGTCTGCACCCATCCCATTCTTCCCGCTGGTCTTTCCTCATGCATCTTTTTCAGAAAAGGTGGAGCCATTAAATAACAAGTTTAAACTTGCAAGGAAAATAGAGCCTGTTCTCCTTCCCTCAAGTCAAACAAAATTTTATCCAGCCTTAAAATAATAGAGGAATCTGTGACCTTTTAGATCGTGTTGAACTCAAATTCTTATTTGCCCAGCCAGAGATAACAAGAATTATTATCTACAGATGTTGTAGATATCCACAAGTTTCCCTCCTTGACCAAAACTACAATTCTTATTTCCAGTTCATTATTTAACACTAGCCAAAGATGCTACAGGCACAATAGGCTCCAGCAGTGACACCCCCTGAGAAGAGTTGATGGTAGAGACCTCTAAATGGTGTTTAATTCTGTGTTTTTCCAGCCTGTATCTTCTATAGCCTTTATAATGATTATATCAACCCAGTAGTGGGCTCCGGATTCGTATGGCGCGTGCGAACATGTGCATGGTGCGTACAGACATGTGCATGGCACGCGCATGCATTGTAGCTGCAAATGACGCTTCCACAAGCCTCTGCGACACTCCAGCTGCTCAGCGGAGCATTGCACAGGCGCTGTGCGTGCCATGCGCGTGTGCGGAAGCACTGAAAGCTTTAAAACATGGTAAGGAGCTTGGGCAGGCAGGTGAGCCCTCTGGAGCCTCGTACCGGAATGGTATCTGGTGCTCTGGGCAGGCTCCGGTATGCCCGTACCGGGGCACACTGCCTGCAACCCACTACTGTATCAACCTCACAAATGTGACTTTAGGCAATATTAAAAGGCAGCTAGTCCTTGATTTATGACTGTTCATTTAATGATGGTGTAGAAATTACACTAATGACCGTGTAGAAAGTTAGCACCCGACTCACCCCTCTCCTAGAAGAATGAAATATTTTTAGAAATATCAAAAAGGCAGAATATTATATGTTCCTGGAAACATGTTTCTTTTTACAGGCAGGAATCAGGCTCCCTCTTAATAGCCCCCCTAATAATAAGACTGCAGGTGCTCCTAATAAAGTATTCATTGCTTCAACTAGAGGGTTTGTTGTTTTTGGGGAGCTGGGTCAAAACAAGGTGGGCTCACCTAACCCCATGACTTAGGGGGCAAGGAATCAAATTGGCAAGATTTTGTTATTATTAAAGCCAGTCTCAATAAAAGTAGATGTAGTCTACTTATGTGGAGTTGCTTTCCTGGTCTGGTCTACTTAGGGATACTGATTAATGATTGCATTTGAAATATTATCATTAAATGGATGTAGGGTTTATGTGCTGCAACTCTGATTGTGTTGTACTACTTCCCATCTTCTTCTGATTTGGCCAATTGGAGAGATGTCTGTTTGAGTCACTTCTGAATACTAGCTGGACACCTGCAATGTTTTACTCCTTCTTGCCATGGCAATGGAGCATGCATATCTCCTTCAAGTTCTTCTTCATTACTCTTTATTGGAGCTGCTTCTTCTTCCTCTTCCTCTTCCTCCTCATCTTCTTCCTCTTCCTCCTCCTCCTCCTCTTCTTCTTCTGGTTTCATTGTGTCCCATTCTTAGAGACCGCGTAGATAAGTCTCTGCAGTTTTCGTTGGCAAGGTTTTTCAGAAATGGTTTGCCACTACCTCCTTTCTAGGGCTGAGAAAAAGAAGTGATTGGCCCAAGGTTACCGAGATGGCTTTGAGTGTAAGGTGGGACTGGCCTCGTGGTCAGGGGTGGGATTGAACAATTTCAGCAACCGCTTCTCTGCCCAGTTGCTGGGTGGACATGGCCATGGGGGCATAGCCTAGTTGGCTTCCTGCACCATGGTGGAAGGAAGGGGCGTTTTCACCCTCCACATGCTCCAGAGGCTTTCCTCAAGCCTCTGGGAATGCGAAAACCTCCCCAGGCTCCGGAGGCCCTCCAGAGGCTGGAAACAGGCACGTTTCCAGACTTTCGGTACTTCCAGAAGACCCAGTTTTCACCCTCCCCAGTCTCTGGAGGCTTTCTTCGAGCCTCCGGGAGAGCAAAAATGGCATCCTCTGGCCTCCAGAAGCCAGAAACTAGCCTGTTTCCAGACTTCTGGTACTTCCATTAGGCCTCCCAGAGTCTCTGCATACAGTTATCTGGCATCCAAAATGGCCCATGTGGAGACTCCTGGGTGGGGCGGGGTAGGGTGGGCGGGGCCAGCCAGTCCTTGTAACTAACGGTTCAGCAAACCAGATTCGAAATTAACATCCGGTTCACCCGAACCGGTCCAAACCAGCTGAATCCCACCCCTGATCCTGGTCTCCCAGTTTCTAGCTTGATGCCTCAACCACTTACACCATGGGTGTCAAACTCGGTACATCACATTGACGTCATGGCGGTTTTTGCCTTTGCGGAACTGAGGTGGGTGGGTGTCACATCTGGCCCATGGGCCACCAGTTTGACACCCTTGACTTACACCAAACTTAGGGGGGGCTTCGTATTATGTTTAGTCCCCTCTGGTGACCTCCCAGGCGGTTGAAGAAAACCCAAAGAAATAAGAAAAAAATATCCAATGATCCCTAGGTTCTTTTTCTTAAATGCTAACCTCGAACAGTTTCATGCATTGTATTTATTATTTATGAAGCTTACGTCTGGCTAAAGTGCATTGCAGTTTATGAACCAGAGAAGGGAAATATTGAAGTAAATATTGGTTGGTTTGTTTTTTAAAGAGAGGTGAGGGCTGCTGAATCTGGGCTGCAAAACTCCAAATGATGGTTAGAAGGCAGCAGGTTGTCTGTATCTGCTTTTATCTAGGGCTTGTCCCATTTTTGCATTCCTGAGACAGTAGCTCTTAAAGCAGACCACACACCTCCAGATATGCTTGTAATATAAGAGAGGTCTGGGAAGATTACCTGGAACTCGGCTAATCTGCCTAGTACAAGACATCTGATACTCTATTTATAGAGGTGTATGTACTAGAGGTCCCTGCATAGGTCATAGGAACTGATGATTCATACTAGTCCGTATTTAGTGTTAGTTAAGAAGTCAAGAGCATGTGAGTTGTTGCCTCCTTTTACAGTAATTTTTCACGTATCTTTCCCGGTAGTTTTCCTGGCTGATCTATCATCAATGCTATATTTATTTCTTTAACAGTCAAATAAGGGCTATTTCATATACCGTATGCAATAATGCATATGCAAAAGGTATTACTTATGTTCACCAGCAAGAATTTTAAGCTATCAATATATTTTCAATATATTTTAAGCTATCAGTTTCTTTTAATTGTTGGACGCCGCCCTGAGTCCTTGGGAGAAGGACGGCATATAAATCTAATAAATCTCAAATCTCAATATATAATACGAAGCAAACTAATTTATACGAATGCTTAATGCCACCAAGAAGTCAATTGACATCTAGTGATAAACGTCTAAAATAAATTGTTTAACAATAGAGCAGAATCCTATTATGCTTCCCTTAGAAGTTAGTTCTGCTGTGCATTCCAAGTTAACTAAAGTAGGATACCCTGTTTTCCTGAAAATAAGACCTCTCAGGATAATAAGCCCAACTGTGCTTTTGAGTGCATGCGCTAAAATAAGCCCTCCCCTGAAAATAAGCCCTCCCTGAAAATATTCAAGCACATGTGCAGCCGGTCCCTGCCATTTCCTCTGGTTGCTTGCCACACAAACAACATGAGATGAGGAGGCAAGGCTGGAGGGGGGGGGGAGGGAAGGGGAACATGCCCCATGAACTCCACACACTCTTACCTAATGGCTGCTCCCACAACCCAATTCGCAATTTCGCAATTTAATGAGTTTATATGCCGCCCAATCCCGGGGGACTCCGTGCGGCTTACAAATACGAAATAAAATAAAATAACACATAGGGGAAAGAATACAAACAATTTAAAAAACACAACATACATTTGGTTTAACTGGGGGTTGGACCTGATTTAAAATCAGCAACCCCAGGCCTGTCGGAACAGCCAGGTTTTGGTGGCTTTTTGGAAGGCCACGAAGGTGGGAAGGGTCCGGATCTTTGCTGGTAGCTCGTTCCACAGAGCCAGAGCAGCTACA